GCATAATTTCATTTGATAAACACGTTTAGATTGAATGGTAATTTATAATCAGTCACAAGAACGTCGAATCTGAATCACTTGAAAAAACACGGGGTGCTTAACTTTTTTCCAGGTGTATATATCCACTGAAACCATCTCCTACTAATGTGTATGCTACTGTTCCCAGGATAACATTCATGCCTGTATTTACAGAAGGTTGTTGACAAGAACTCTACTTGATCATTACCTATTGTGTGAAGAATAAAGCATAAGACACTTAACATCACTTCTGAAGAGTTCTGGCAATCTACCCTAGCCACCTTTATTATTATCAACAGTGCAAGTCTCATGCATCCTTTTCATAGTCATGCATACAGATACTACTGAAACATGGAGACTTGCCATAATTAACTGTTTGCATGGAGTATTCTTCACCAGCCAAAACTTTAGTTTGTAAATATTTTCCATGCAGTAGTTTAGTCCTTGGAGACATAAATAAATTACACTGCTACTACTGGACAGAATATGATTACCTGTACCTTTATAAGCTTTTATCAAGATAGTTATGTGGACATTCTTGAAATTGTAAATTACACTTATTTCAAACTATCAACATGTGACTGTAAATTAGTGTAGTTAGTTTTCACACAATGAAGGAGTTCCATTCCCACAGTATTTGTCTTTTGTATCCTTCTTTGTCACGATTTCCATAAGTTGCTTGTTAAACACAAAGCTACACAATAGGCTACCTGTGCTTTGCCCAACACAGGTATTGAAACCTGATTTTTATCATTGTAAGCCCTCAGACTTACCCCTTAGTTCAGGCATGTGCAAAATACTACCCGCAGGCTGCATCTGGTCTGCAAGGAGGTTTTATCCACCTGCGAAGTCTTTTTAACTTTTACTTTTGATTCATGTGGTGTGGCCCACAAGTACATTTAAAAATTGCTATCCAGCCCACACCCTGGAGGAAGTTCCATGTCTGCCTTAGCTAGTCGGGGTATTTCCGTAATTATTTCCATTACTGTATATTATATATACACACACACACACATATATATACTTGTGGGCATTCTTGAAAGCATTAAATATTAAAATACTTATTTCAATTGGGTTAAAGTAGTTAGCAGATACGATTATCTTCTGTTACTAAATATTACGTGATAATTCCTTAATCTTTACTTATCCATCAAATATACACTGTCATATAAGAAACTTTAGGTAACTTCTAATATAACACAAGTAGTTCACCAGTTCTTCTGAATGACAGATAAAGCTCATTAAAGTAAAAACAAATAATAATAATAATAATAAATAATCGGTGTCAAAATAAATAAGTAATATTGTGTTCTTAATCTTTGCCCTAATTCTGATTTGTAAATAACTCATATAAAAATTACACTTCACACTATAACAGTTGTTCTTCATGCAATGTGATAATATAAATGGCATCTTAACCACTAGCCTCGTCAGCACTGGATATAGCAGATGTTTTGTGGTTGATACATTATACACTCTTCTTCATTTCCACTCATACATACTTTGAAATCAATTGTTCACATTGCATAAACTGTATATACTAACACAAGCAGTAATTCATTCCTCACATCTATCTACCACCAAAAGTTTCACTTTCATGCCAACCAAAAAAGATAATATTATAACAACAAAAGTTGCTTTTTAATATCCCAACAATTTCTTCATTTTAGAATAAAAAATCAGAAACTGTTAGAAAGAAAGCATTCAATGTTTCACTAAATCTGAGGCTAAAAGGTATCCATATGAAGAAAAACAAATGAATGTAAGGTGAAGTTTTCCTTACTAAATATTATGTGATAATTCCTTAATCTTTACTAATCCATCAAATATACACTGTCATATAAGAAACTAATTTTCTAGAAACTTTAGGTAACTTCTAATATAACCCAAGTAGTTATATTAACTATGCATATAAGCCCCTTCAAAAACTTGGGACAGCTACCCCTGAAAAGACACTGATCAATAAAAAAACATTGATATACTAGTCATCACAAAAAAATATATAAATATTTTAAACAAAATTCTGAGCATAAAGACGGTGAATTCTGTGTGGCAATATCTTGGAGAAATAATGGTATTGCTTAACCAAAAACTGCATTTTTGGAAAAGATTAAACCTACACAAAAAAGAAAAGAAAGATAAAAACAAAGATGTTCATCTACAACAATGAGACTTCAAGTAAACTACAACATTATAATTACATTAAACTTAAACCAAATTACAATTAGTTTCAAGCTAAAGTAACAATAAGCTGCAAATATGAAGTACAAATTAAACTAACCTAAGTACACTAGAACTAACCTGTACATCCTGCTAGATAGACTGTAATGTCTTTCTCTTTCATTTCTTTGGTTAACTAAGAAAATATCAAAAAATAAAATAACTTTCATTCCTGATCTGGTGTAACTACTACAACATACTTTGATTTATTGTCTTTTTTTTTTGGTTGATAACATAATCTTTCCTCAGCAAAAACAATTATAGCTGTAAAAACTAGAAGATAAAGGATATTTAAAACCATGGTTTGAAAAACACAAACTGTACTTAACATGATCTATTCTTAGCAGAATTTAAGATAAGTCAAGACTAAAAACGTTTCCACATATAAATAACAAGAATTACAGAACTGTTACTGACATTATGAACAATTTGATAAGCTTCCTTGTTCCATGTATTTGTACAAAACTACAAATGGCTATCTGTACTAGCCATTCTTAATTTTGAACTAATATACGAATGGGAAGGCAGCTAGTCAACTCTTCGATGAATAGTCTGGCATGCTAGCCACTAGGCTATGCCTTGTCCAAAATGTGATCAGACATTAAAAGTATCATTCAGTATATACTAAAATGATCCTGAACCATGTAAAACATTGGAGCACATTTTTTAATGCATTTTTAATACAAGTTACATGACTTATACACCTATTGAATAAATGTACCATAACTGATACAAGATTAGAGAAACATTACCCATGATGTAAATCATAATTTGTCAATGAGAAAAATCAAATATTATCAAATCTTTACATAGTAGTGTTTAATGATGATAAATCAATAATTAGTTTTAAAACATTTTTTGTTCAGAAAGAAAAAAAAACTCACAATAACGAAATGGGAACTACAATAAATGTCAGATTCATAAATATTTGAATGTAATACGTAACAAGGTGAGTAGTTTTGAAGTTTCTACATTTTGTAATGTTAAAAATTATAAGTAAAGATTTGTCACAAGGCCGGATTAAAGTTCTAAAAATTTTATACTCTAGCTCAGTGGTTCTCAACATGGGCCATGCCATATTTCTAAGGGGCCACCAAAACTTCACTGCTCGATTAAAATACTTAAAATTTAAAATTGAACCAAAGGTTTCCTTCTCCCCGTATCCCCCACAGCTCAGAAATCAAATTATCAGATGCGACTAGTACTCAAGTAACAATCAAAATGTTTGTCTGGTACCTGTGAATGTTTTTGACTGATTCTCAAGAGCAGCAGAGTGATATAACAACCAAAGCCAGATTCAAATGTGACAAACATTATTTCTGAATAAGTAGTGAAATAGCTAATAAGCTTCCACAGCTCTGGGAGAAGGCAAAGTTCTATTTTATTGCTTTTCCCACATCTTGTCTGGTTGAATCTGGTTTTGGTATTGTGACTTATTTTGCTATCGAAAATATGTAATGCCTTGATGTTGTGAAGAGAGGTGATCTTTGCTTATCACTGACCACACTGCAACTGGACATTCAAAAACTTTCAAGTGTTCATCAGGCCCAAGGATCACACTGAATAAAATGTCAATGATTTACAGAATATTTTCTACTTGTATAAGTAAACAGTATGTTATAAACAAAATATTTAAAAACAATACAATATTGTAAAAATAATATTATAATATTATAAATATATTATAAATCAACAGTGTGGAAACAAAGTAACTTTTTTCTTAAGTAACAGTGTCTATGGAGGGTGGGGCCACAGAGATAAATCAAACTCAAAAGAAAGCCACGAGCAAAAAAAGGTTGAGAAACACTGCTCTGGCTGATTGATTATAACAACAATTTAAGGTTAATTTTGAGACTAAATGAAGAAAATAAGGTCTCTCCTTATAAAAGACAATTAGATTTAAAGAAAATCCACATTTACATTAAGAACATATGATAAAAAATTTTATAATCTTTAACACAGAAATTTTCAAATTACTTAACAAACTAATCTCAAAGTAGTCAGCCTGGCAGATTAAAATATGTAAGAGATGAAAAAAAAGAATGAAAATACCTCAAGTAAAGTATCCACTCCTGAAAGGTCAATGTAAGAAAATGATGAACAGTCAATAATCAAATGATGAATTGGATTCAGAGATTCTGTGTTATTCTGATCCTCTTCTATATTCCCTTCTTTTCTATTGTTTTTGGCAATTCTACAGAATAAAGCCCAACTCTTATAAATACACTGATATTATTATTATAGTCCTATTTCACTGGTTAAAAAGAATACACAAAACGTTGATACTGAAATTTTGAAAAACCTTGCAGCAAGCCACACACTGCATTTTTAGAAACTTTAGAAATAATTCCTACCTATCATTATCTATTACTTTCTTTAATCCTTCCGTGAAAATAGATTTGTTCATGAAGTAAAGTGGTCCACCAAAGCAGAATATCTTAATCCCCAGTATCTCTTGGGCCTAGAAATAAATAATTTCATTTGTGTAAAACAAAAGAAGTATTTAGAAAAGGACAGACCCTCCATGTTTACAATGGTTAAAATTTGTATCAGTATCATTTGTATCAATTGCAGTGACCATAATTTTTGTAGCAGTATAAACTGTATTAGTATTGAATAATAGCCTAATACTGTACCATCATTTAAATCAATATCTAATCACAAACACCTTAGGTGTGAAAAACAGGTGTGACCAAAAAAGGATTGAACGTGCATTCTTTGTTCAACTTGAGGCATGATGGTAGGTAAAACAAAATACATGGCTTAGCTAATTAATGAATGAATATTTGCTGTAAAATTTATATCAATGCCATAAGTGTAACTACTAGTTTGGCCACCAACTTTGATTTCATTCCTTTATAATGCACGCACAATCGTTTTTCACACCTAAAGTGGTTTTGATTAGATATCATGACTTTTTGTCAATACACACCAACAAAACACAGCAAAAGTAACCCACATTAGCTTTAGGCTCCCAATCCTATCATTCTGAACAGACCTATACTTTACAGAACCAACCAGATTCTTTAAAAACAGCTCCAAAACAGCTGTCTTTAATCCAAATTATAAGAAACTAAAAATGGTCCACTATTAATCTTAGGTGAAACTGTGGTAAAAATTTCAGACCAATAACTCAAGTGACTTTTTGTGTGGGTGTGCAGAAAACTTTTGTTCAAAACTACTGAGCTGTTTTTGCTGAATAACTTTGCATGTGGCTTATATTCAGACCAAATTTGACACCTAAACATCTATCAGTGTACCAAATTTGAAGCAACTCTATCGAAGTTAAGTTTGTTTGTTTTTTTTAAATACATTTTCAGCGAGATTGGTGCAAAAAAAAAAGAAATAATACAATCAAAAGTAAAGATTTTATATCACATGTGTTTCTTAATGGATTGCCTTGAAATTTGATATATGAAATAAGGGTCCAATAGAGCACTTTCATTCAAGATATGTGATAGTTTGTATTACCACAGAAAGAAAAAAACTGCTAAACTATCACTCCTGTTAATAACACACAGTTTGTAATGTGGGTTGTTTTGGCTGCACAACACACTACCATGTGTCTTCATTACAATGTATAAAGTTAATGAACTCTGGGTACAGTACATAGAAAACTGTATAACGTTCTTTATAAAATTCGAAATTTCATCCTTACTTTATTTCAACAGGAAACATGTCACTAGCATGAAAATAAAATAAGTTCAGCTTAATTTCTAACTGTATTACATTTACCTATATGAACTGAAAATCATTACATTTCCTAGTCTTATTGTGGAAACTTAGCTTAGTGACCTAACTGATTAAATACTATGGGATATAATTTTAATATTAATGTAGGACCAATATTAAAACATATTAAGGTTACAAACACAAATGTCCAGTACATATCTAAACACCTCAAGGTTACCTGACCTGCTGCAATCACGTTTCCATTTATAAACTATAACAAATCTCTATAGCACTTTACATGTTTTACAACAGAAAAAACAAAACAAAATAAACTATTAATTTCACATGAAGTATATATTTACTTCCACTGTCACACATTACTAGTATTACAAGCATAATCAAAGTTCATTACAGTAGAGTATGAATTTACTGAATTTGAGTTTTTCAAGTTGAAAATATTAAATAGTGTTCCTCTGAGAATACTAAGATGTTTTGTAAATATTTACATTTATAACCCTAAACTACCTCACATCAATAATTTTCAAACTATTTATTTGACATTTACAAAAGGTATAACAATAGTTAGATAACTAGTAAATGAATACATGCACACTATATTTACATACATTCCAACTTTAGCTTAATCTGTATATCTTTTCCAACTTAGATAACACAAGAAAAAGTAGCACACAAAATTCTCAGCCAAAAAATACAAATTAATATAATCCACAATATTGAGACAAGGAATTTTGAGGTACAAAAATTAGTCCTACAGTAGGAGGCTGCAACTTTTTCTTTTGGAAACTAGAAAGTGATTAAAAGGCCCTCAAAATTCCTTCCAGTACAGAGCAACAACATATAAAATATAGTGCAGCTAACCGGTTAGTCATTATATCATACTTCCCCTAAGCAATACTATGTAAGAAGAAACAAAGAATTAAAGACTACAGAACCATGAAATCAGACAAACTAATATATTCAATTCACAAACACACATAGAAAAGAAGATACTAAAATGTCATTGAATGGTGTTAATGTTTCCTGTGATGAAAATTAATATTTTAAGCTACCAAAAAAATTATAACTTTTTTTTTAATATATTAAATATGTAAACAGCATTAGATTAGTTTGAGTTTATCAGGAATTTAATAAGATTTTAGGGAAAACTAAGCTCAATGAGAGTAATTTTGCTATTCTAATGACTGATGCATATTACAATAACATCGTTTCTTATCTTATTAGTTCCAGTCTTATGCAAAAATTTACATAAGTATGGATAATTTATAATGATTATGACAGTCATAATTATATCCATATATAAAGGAAACGTATATCAAAAATACACATTTTTTCTCAATTTTATGCATATTTATAGCTATATTGGTTGAAAATTATTATTAAAAAAATTAAAAAATACTATTTGCAATATTAAGACTGTTAATATTGTCCCACCCTATTGTTGTGGAAATAGAATAACTGAGATATTGCTTAAAATACTTTATAAATAAAGAGCTATTGAAATAGTTAAATTTTAATTTTAAATTTCTTAGAGCACAGCTTCAGACTGTTAACTATGAGATCTTATTGCAAAAAATGTATAAACTTTTGATGAACTGTTCTTAGTTGTTGTTTGTGTTTTTATCTAAGTTGATACTATCGAACATTTGATGTTACCATGGGTACAAAAGTGGTACAAACTCAGTAAAAATATATGCAAGTCCAAGTAAACATAATTATGTTCTATTTTCTCAATGGGAATCTTGTTAAAAACCTGGGAAGTAATAGAGAAAATCCCCATATCACTTACTAATAATATCATGCAAGTACTGCATTCAATTAAAACACAGTAAAACCTACAATTTTACAATCTGCTATAAGAAATTAAGTCTTAAGTACTAACGTAAACAAAAAGTTAAAATCAAAGTAGTAATTGGACCTAGATGATTTCATAAGCTACTAATTACAACAACAGCCATCAGTTATGTTTAATATCTTTAAATAGACACAAAAAAACAAACATTTTATCAATTTAATGGAAAACTTACTTACACTATGAAAGTTTTCCTTGTCTACATAAATCTCTGTGTCAGGCAAGTTAGCAAGTACCCCTTGATACGGACTACAAAATAACAGTTACACAGAAATATTAAAAAATTGCTTTAAAGTCAACTGTAATACATATATTCTTCTTTAAATTAGTAATAAACAATATATTATCAGATTTCCTTACATTTATAAAACTTCACTTTTTTATTTCTAGGAGCACCATTATTTTAAATTACAAACATGTAAAAGTAAATTAGTATATTAACCAACAATGAAGAATCTAATTTTTGATTTCACCATTATGTTATGTTTTCATTATTCTTATAATTTAATCATTAAAATAATTATTGTAATCGCTGAATTATAGCCACAGCATTAAGTAGTTAGATATAAAAGAATCATGATTTTTTTTTATTTTGAAAAGTATTAACAGGGCATTTCACTCATCTAACTTGATAAGCACTGAGTGAACTTAAACAATGATATCAAGTTCAAACTTTTGTAGCATTCAAAAATATAATATTATTATAATGAGAGGTAATGTATTATAAATATTTACATACAAATTAAGTTCCCCATGAAACATTCAGGTGAGTAAAAACATACACTGTACACTCATAGTTCAAAACATTCCCAACAGCTATAGTTTCACACATTGAATGAATAATAGTTTTCTCTAGAGAGTACAATAAATATTAATATCCTTGATAACTTACACAAAAAATAGTAGAAAATCTCATATTATTAATAGTAATTCATTGCAAAAAACCAATATGGATAAAGTCATTTGAAACATAATAAACCAAAATGAGCGCTAAATATAATTCCTTTAATTGTTTTTCGATTGGTACACGAAAAAATCAAAAGAAAAATCATCTTTTGTGATAATATTAAAAACAATAGACATTCAACCCTGAGCATGGTTTCATTTTAATGAGCAAAAATAGCTGTAAAAACCCAAGCACTTCTCTGTAGAAGGAAGATTGGGTTTTTTTTTGTTTTGTTTTTTTAATCAAGCATATATTTTATGAATTTGATATAAATTTCATTATAAACAACAAATACACAACTGGTGTTTAGGGCAATCTGGAAGTCGTGGGTTTGAATCCCCATCACACCTAACATGCTTGCCCTTTCAGCCATGGGGCATTATAATGTGATGGTCAATCCCACTAATCATTGGTAAAGGAGTAGCCCAAGAATTTGTGGTGGGTGGTGTTGCCTAGCTGTCTCCCTTTTAGTCTATCACTACTATATTAGGGACAGCTAGCACAAATAGCACTTTTGTAGCTTTGTGCGAAATTCAAAACAAACCAAATATACTGTTCTTTAACCACATAGGTATGTGTATAGCAATGATAATGGATTGTTCTATACTAATCAAGACTAAATAGATTGTTCTTGAAAGTAGTTTAAAGTATAGCAATAATAATGTATTGTGCTGTAATGATCAGAAACATATAAAATGTTCTTATATGTACTTTAAAGTCCTTAAGCAACATGTGTATTCTATTAAAATTAACATCACACATGTATTCACAGATTCATCTTAATTCTATCATGAACTCATTACTACTAGTAAGTATAATACACACCTGTAAGTTTTGACCTAATATTTACACTACAGATTTATAAAACTTACTATAAATACTTACACAAAAGATCTATAAACAACAGTGAGAATGGAAAATACCACCCCCAAAATAAGCCCATAGTCAATGTCTAAGATCACAATGGAAAGAAATGCCATAAGCCATATCATCTGTAGAGTAATAAAATACGTAGTTAGTAATGACTAATGGTTAGATGAAGGAAGTTATGAATAAAATATTGTACCTTACACGTACTCTCACACTGAGAAAACTTTATCTCTTGGTAACGGTAACATAATTTTTAAATCAAAATACATAATTTCCAGTTCTATACTGGCTTAGTCAGGATTGTGGTAAAAAGAAAATCTTCCTATTACTCCTGTGGACTCATGAAGAACTAAATTACCAAAGTCCTTATTGGCATATTATAAAGCTCATATGCTTAAGAAATTTTTCTACAACTACTTAATTAACTTATAGTTTTAAAAAAATGTTACATATTTCTTTATTCCTGCCACATGCCACCAGGAAAACTTTATTTATCAAAGGGAGAGCATACATATAAATTATATAATTCATTCAGCAAGTATTTTTCAAACTTGGAAAATACTGGCTTGAAACAGAACAATCCTTGATTATTTTTTTTATATTATAACAAAACAACAAAATATCACTGACATATTAGAATTATCCAGACAAACCAGTGTGTATGTATCAATAAGATGAAACAAGAATGGTACACATATGTATATAAATTAAAGTTTAAAGCACCTCTCTTTCAACACCACTAGCTTTTTTAGCAATACTCTGTTTAGACAAAGCATAACAAGCAAACATATTGAAACATATAATCACATGCACATTGTAAACAAGATATATGTGTACAAGTGATGATATTACTGAAAAATTTTAATAACTTTTTTAATCATGTTTAACTATCTTGGACCAAAAAGGAATCACAGACACCCACTGATCTTTCATTCTTACAATGTAAATACTTAACCAAACTGCATAAAACCTAGAAAAACTTACTAAATAGTATCGAACTAGCTTTGACTTAAGAAATTATTATAGTTTGATTTACTTTTTTTCTAATTTTTATGTTATGAGACACTACTTTGGAAAAATATTAAAAGTTACTACTTTTAATCTTAGAATTTCAATTTTTTTTAATTGATGATCAGAATGTTCTATTTTATATATACATAAAATTACAACTTGATTGGTTTCATTAACATTTCCTTTTGATACTTTATCGTACTACTTCTGGCTATAAGTTGTAAAAAACACTGCAAAAACTCACAAATATTTAACAGTGACCTATATAAGTGCTGTCAGATCAGTTTAGTTAAGAATATTATTGATAAAAATCAATTGCTACCTCATAAATAGTTTCTTTCCAATAAGTTATTTTACTTATATATGTTGTTCGAATATGAAGAACCTAATAATAATACTCAATAAATAAAAATTTCTGTCACTGAAATACTTTACAATCACCTACCATACTTGCTAAGCTTAACTAATGTCTTGTCAATGAAAATTTTCATTAACTTAAATAAATATAATTTAATGGGAAAACATTTTCAGGAACAAAGTATACCAAAATTCCCAGGTTACTGGTTTGCTCCTAAGTCTTCTAATGTTCCCATTAGATTATCTTCTTCTCAGCAAAAACTAAAACTTATCACTTTCCCATAAAACCATAAATTACTTTTCACACTTCTTTATTCATTGCACATTTACATACACAGGGGTTTAAACATGCCCGTAGTAATAATATTAGAGAAAGAGAAGGAAAATCTTATGAAAAAAAAACATGGATATTTCCATCCTCAATGGGATGAAACAGTGTAGCTTCTTAGCAAGTATAAACCTATACTTTGGGAGAGGCAGTAAAAAAAAATTTAGAATTTCATTTTTTTTTTTTATAGGCAAGATCGCTCAGAGTCGCTCGTGAATGAAATTTTGAACATTATATTTTAAAATTATAATTTGTGAAATACATTAAATAAATTTTACAAAAGGGAAAAATTAAATTTAAATTATTATTGAGTTAAACACTGTGAAAATACAGTTAAGAGTTACAACTTTCACTTTGAATTCAAAATCATGTAGTTGTACACCAGTCCAGAAAGGGTTAAGATGTTCTTATTAGCAAGATATTTGACTGGACAAAAAACTGCCCAGTAAAAAATCTTTCAAAGCCCAAACAAGTAACAAAAGGTTCAGATTTTTTATTGAATCCCTTCCTAACCAGTGGTTTAATCTGGGCAGAAAAAACTATATTGCAATTAGCAAGTAAAATTATTTAGGTACCCATAAGCCTGTATAAAGTTTGATAACCCTAGAAAGTTCACTACATATTATATTTTTTGTTTATGAGCTTGCTATTAACACAATAGCTTAGAAACAAGCTAGCTATGCAAGTAAAGAAAATACTTCAGTAATGAAATATAAGACACTTGATATTTTTTAAAGTCTGATACCCATAAAATTGAAAGAACTAGAAATATTTTCTGATTTCTACATTCAGAAGTTTACTACAGTTCACAACAAACATGTCAATGAGAAAATGAAGTTGAAGAATTTTCATGAAATTAGAAATGGTTAAATACAACAATTTCCTGAAGATGTAAACCACTTTTTTTTTGTAAGATATTTATTTAGAGAAGTTAGCATGATAAATGATATACTGAAAAACTTACACCATCAATCTTTGAAACATTCCAAACTCTCTTCAGCTCTAGGACCTGTACAAACATCCCTTTCAAGGCTACCAGAATAACACATGATAGAATGCACTATATGAAAAAACAAACAATTCTTGTGAATATTTAAATTAAAACATATAGCCTTATTAAAATTAGTAATCAAACCTAAGAAAAAAAAAAGAGACAATGACAAGTTTTGGATGTAATCTGCAATACAATACAACTCAAAGAATGCGAAACTTTACAAATCACTATTTTATACAATATAATAATTAATTTTACAAATTAAACTAAATGTACTAGGTCACAAAACTATAATGGTAATTGTCACTATTTATGTCCATAGTCATTGACTATGTTATAAATATTTCCCACCAGCATAAATATACACAAATGTAAGCATCTAAACATCTTTCCTGATATTAAAATATATAATTGGTTAAGATGTTTTGAATAAAGCCATCATGTATACCATGCAAAAAGAAATCAGAAATGGAGAAAGATATTAACATCTCAAGTATGTTCATACAATCAAGAACGTGAAATTATATTCATTAAGAGAATCTAGTGTACTTTCATGTAAAGACACTAAGTAAAGTGTGATTTTTTTAAAAATACATTGTGAAAATCTGACAACTTCATGCAATCACAAAAAAAACATTGTATTGAACAAAATTATTTGAATTTTTGCTTCTTTTTCTTTAGCCTAAGTGGAGAAATCAAAAATTATTATTAAAGAACCACATTTTAAAATTGTAAATACTAATATGAACAAAGTTGGCTGGAGGATTTTTAAGTGCAACTACAATGCAGAAAAAATGTATCTAGTAGTAACATCTTCACAAGATGCCTTAAACTGGCTTATTTTCTTGAACATCTCTATAAAAAAACAATTACAAGTAGACGTCATACATTATATTTACCTTTGGTAAATGGTAGAACAATGGCCCTAACACTAACAGGATTACTACCATAAGGACACAAGAAACCAGGCTAACCAGCTATAAAAAAAAAGATATTTATAACTTTGAATATTTATCCACACGACATTTAAAAAACAGAACTGTTAATATTTTAATGAGTCATCTTGAATTTATTAATAATAACTTTCCAGTGTGCTACAATAAACATATATAAAATTGATAATTTTTCACACAAAATATTAAATTGCCTTTCTTCACAAAAAATACAAATGTGGAAGTTAAATAAAGTGGAACATAAAGACATAAATTATACATAGCTATTGTAGCCAATACAGTACAACATATGTTCACACACAATATATGTATCATTACAAGGGATGAGGATCCAAGTGATAAAGTGGAACATAAAGACATAAATTATACATAGCTATTGTAGCCAATACGGTACAACATATGTTCAAACACAATATATGCATCATTACAAGGGATGAGGATCCAAGTGAGTATATAGTATACCCGCCTTTCTAAGCAGAAAACCAAGGATCAAATCCTGGCTTCTGCCACCAAATTCAATCCTTCTCTGGACTTTTCTGAAAATGGCAGCAAACTAACAATCAAAACACAGATTGTAAATTAAATGGCAATCAGTAACAAACACTTGATGTTATATCAATAACTGATTAGTAATTAGACGTGCTTAATAGTACAGGCTATTAACTATGATAACTAATGAAATCTTATCAGAACAACTCTAAGCTACATGTACATCTAGATAGCATCATTCCCAACACATTTCAAAATAAATTATTTCATGATTTTAAGTTAGGCACTTTTCTGTATTCTGTAAGTATGACTTAATTAAGGAGATTTACCTCACAGTTTTTTCTTCAGTTTAAAAAAGCCTAAAATAAAATACACAATTTTTGTACAATTCAAATGTTTTCTACAGTTCTTTACCAGTTTTAATGAAATATAACAACATTGTATAAAAATTATGTATTTTTGGTTAAACTGCTGGCAAGCTAACTTTCCAAATTGCTGAAATAGTTTAATTTTATTGAAGTTCACATGAAATAATTCCCTTCTTCTGAACCACACAACAGTGAACTTTGAATTCTAACTGACTAGAAATTAGAGTATTTGAGTATACAACCTTGAATAATATCTAAACCTTTAACCAAATGTGCACATGCTGGAGAAGAAATGCTGATTATGATTCCAAATTTACTACATGTATCTATACAAAATATAG